TGGTATGTCGAAAGTATGGTCGAACTAAAAATTAAAAATTCTTTAATACTCATTCAAGAGGGGATAATGAGGGGAGATGAGTGGGATTATTAAAAATATCGAAACTTGAAATGTAGAATTCGAAGTTCGAGATTCGACATTTCTGGGATTTGAGAATCAAACGGATATAGGTGAACGAGTAGTCATTCTAAAGCATATCTAAAGGGGAATCCATTGGGATTAACCAACATTTCGAATTTCAAAGTTTGTAGTTCGAGATTTGGGATTTGAGTCTGGGACTGAAATGGTTTTTCGACCATAACTTTTCAAGAAAATTTTTTAGAATTTTTTCGTCTTCGGATTCGATCTCAGCGTGTTCGGTTTCTCTATAAAACACATTTTTTCTGTCAAAATTAAAAAATTTCTACCCCTCGAATTTTCAATATGGGTAACCCTTATGAAAAGTATTTGGAAATATTTTAAAAAGCATAACTATTTAAGGGATTGAGATTTTTGAATGGGATTTCGATTATAAAATAGTTCTTAAATTAAAAATTCTTTAAGGTAAAAAACATTTGAAAAATTCAAAACTGGAGCCGTAGGGGTCGATTTTTTAAAAATCCAAAATTTTTCGATTTCTTGAAAATTTTCTTGGTTTTTTGTTGTAAGATCGGTGTAAAAGTAGTTTCCCCGTATAGAGCAGATTTTTCCATATATAATAGGATTTTAAAATCTTCAAAAAAGGATACTTTGGGCCAGTTATGATTTTTTGAATATTTCAGTGATTTTTTCGGCCGAAATTTCCGGCCAAAAATTTATTTTTTCGAAAACCAAGATAGATATGGCGAATGATATATCATTTGAAAGCTCTCATCGAGCTGACTTTAAAAATATTTTTTTCGAAATTTTATGGGGCATTTTGACGAAAATACAGAGGTTCGAAAATTTGTGGGGTGGAGTACCGTATCAGGAGAATTATGGTAGGGAGAGAGAAAAAATGATTGACAGGTGAAATTGGTGGCAGAGAAGCTAAATTTTTCTCCGTCTCTGACCATGCAGGGCAAACCGGCGAAGAACTTAAATGTGAATTTTGTATATCTGGGCAAATTTTGTGGGTGATAAGCTGGATCAGGTGTAGATCCGAATCAGGAGCATCTATTGCTTCAGGTTTCTGCTTCAAGTTTCGAAATTTGAAACTTGAAGCAAATTTGCTTCATGTTTTAATTTTTTGAAGCTTGAAGCAGATTTGCTTCAGGTTTTGAAATTTTTGAAATATATTGAAATTTTTTCACGTTTTTGAAATTACTGCATGTTTTGAAATTTTTAGTTTTGAAGAAAATTTGATTAAATTTTGGTTTATGAAGCAAAATTTGCTTCAACTTTGAAATTTTAGTTTACGAAGCAAATATGCTTCAACTGTGGAAAGTTTTAAACTTGAAGCAATTGCTTCAACTTTTAAAAATTTTGCTTTTTAGCTGACAAAAGTGGAAGGATGAGTCCCAACTGAGGGAACACGAGGGCCGAAGGCCAAGTGACTCTAAGTGGAAGGATGAGTCTCAACTGAGGGAACACGAGAGCTTGAATTTTGGTTTATGAATCCGATTTTTGTGAGCTACGGGGGTAGGTCGGCAGAACAAGGCTGAAAACGGAAAAAGGATTAGGTTTATGTTACTGTTGTAGAACCCAGCGACCGTTGACACCCGCAAGGCGCGTGCCGCAAAACCCCGCGCGAAGCGCGGGGTTTTGCACAAGCGCCTTGCCGACGCTCCATAGGTCTATCAACATAAACCTATTCTTTTTTAATGTATTATTTAATAAATGTACTATCTAATAAGACGAGGGCCGAAGGCCCGAGCTGACACCCATCTAAAAAGGGATGGCGAGGGCCGAAGGCCCGAGCTGACACCCATCTAAAAAGGGATGGCGAGGGCCGAAAGCTCGAGATGACACCCATCTAAAATGAAGGGCGAGGGCCCGTGCTGACACCCCATCTAAAAGGGAGGGCGAGGGCCGAAGGCCCGAGCTGACACCCATCTAAAAGGGGAGCAAGGGCCGAAGGCCCGAGTTGACACCCATCTAAAAGTTGACACCCATCGGCTTCCCCAACGTGGGGAAGACGAGGGCCGAAGGCCCGAAGTGACTCTAAGTGGCATGATAAGTCGCATCGAGGGGAAGATGAAGGCCCGAAGTGACTCTAATTGGAAGGATTAATCCTAAAGTGTCTAAAAGTAAGGACGATTAATCCTAAAGTGTCTAAAAGTAAGGGCGCCTCCCTTTCCATCTTAAAGGGAGGCGAGGGCCGAAGGCCCGAAGCAATGAAAAGGCAGTCTAAACTCTTCTTCCAAGCATCAAAACTTTCTAGCAGCGCGCGAAGCGCGCCCCAAAGCCGATAGGCTTTCCAACGGGTAGAACAAAATTTGACCCAAAGTATCTTAAAGGCACCCAGCTATCCTCCGCCATCAGTGGTCAAACCCACAGCTAGTTTGGATTAATTTATAAAAATAATTTTGTTTTGAATAAAAGTTTGAGCTTTGAAATTTAAACGTGCTTAGGGGAGGGGAATGTTGTTTCAACCCATCCCTTGCATAGAGAGTAAGTGTCCAATTAAGATAGTGTCCAATTAAGAATCCTAAAATCAATCTCTCGAATGATCAATTGAACAAATTGATTAGATTAAAGTTTGTTACGTTGTTGAAACTAATTTCCCTGCTATTGGAATAAATAATTATAAATTTAAAAAAATTTGGTGTTAAATACATATTCCCTCCCAATATATTCAAAATATTGCTTCCCAATATTTAAATATTCAAAATATTCCTCCAGAACATTTTCTCATACATAAATAACTAAATATTTTCTGAACAAAACTTATGTATTTCCAGCCCATAATTCCCCTCTACGCTTACTACTAAATATATACATAAAAATAAATCCACACAAACAGAACGTTTTTAAAACATATGTACATACAGATATTTATTAGTTAAATAAGTTTTTACATATTCTGAATGTTTTTTAAATAGATTTGAGCTAATATGTAGTGAAATTATTTTTCTTAATCAAAATTAAAAACTCTCACTCGATTAACATTGTTAAATTGGGAGTGAGTTAAATGGGCAGTGATTGATTTGAGCAGTAAACGTTTTTTAAAAGATAATTTTTCACAAAAAAACAATTTGAGTAACAATAAAAATAATTTCGAGTGATTTGGGAAGTAACTTAAATTTTCTAAGATTATTAACACACGAGAATTTGAGGTACCGACGCCCAAGGTATAATTTAAAAAATTTTTCATTATGACCATCTTTCCCGTAAGTTACTTCCCAAATCACTCGAAATTATTTTTATTGTTACTCAAATTATTTTTTCGTGAAAAATTATTTTTTAAAAAACGTTTGGCTGTACTTTAGCCGGTGGCCCACTCAGAAACGGGTCAAAATATATACCATTCGATTCGTCTCGGCGAGCTGAGTCGAATGGTACCATTATTTTTTTGCGGAAATTCCTACGAGCCGAGATATAGGTACTTAAAAATCGAAAAACTATAGGGGGGACCAAGCACTTTTTTGGGGTGAAAAATTCGAATATGCAAATAATAGCTCATTCGAAAGAGCTCGTCGAGCTGAGTCGATTGACACCAAAATCAACGAAATCCGACTTGATTTGACAAAGTTATGAGCATTTGTTTTAGCTCCTTACCTATGGCATCTGTGGAGATTTTTGCTGCTACGGAGGCCCCAAATACGTCCAGAGCAAGGGAGATAAGAATAGGTTTATGTTACGAGCCCAGACCCATCGCCCGTAGACTCCCCGCGAAGCGCGTGCCGCAAAACCCCGCGCGAAGCGCGGGGTTTTGCACAAGCGCCTCGCCGACGCCCCATAGGTATATGTTGCTAGTTTTTTGTGTTGTAACTTTGTCTAAACTTGTTTAATCCCGGTGATTCTGGTGTCATTCGACTCAGCTTGTCGAGCTCTTTCAAATAAGCTATAATATGGTTAAAAAATTTTTAATTCCAAAAATCACCCCTTTGGATTAACAGTTTTCAGAAGCCTATATCTCGGTCCAATCAAGTCGGATTTCGTTGATTTTGGTGTCAATCGACTCAGCTCGACGAGCTCTTTCGAATGAGCTATTATTTGCATATTCGAATTTTTCACCCCAAAAAAGTGCTTGGTCCCCCCTATAGTTTTTCGATTTTTAAGTACCTATATCTCGGCTCGTAGGAATTTCCGCAAAAAAAGAATGGTACCATTCGACTCAGCTCGCCGAGACGAATCGAATGGTATATATTTTGACCCGTTTCTGAGTGGGCCACCGGCTAAAGTATATCCAAACGTTTACTGCCCAAATCACTTACTGCGCATTTAACTCACTGCCCAATTCACCACTGCCAAAGGGGCCTGCGACAAGGTGGCCCGCGACAAAGTAGTCGCGAAAAAGTGGGTCGTATCTACTAAAACAGATTGACCGATTCAAATTTAAGTCATTTTTGTCTGTTTATCTGATCATGATCTCTTTTATTTTACTTTTTTTAAGTATATCCAAGAAATTCTCAGATAAAGCTCAGAACTTTTTTTATTATAAAAATTCCGACTTAATAAATAAAATATTTTTAGCATGTTTACTTCGCCATTTTTCTCAATTAAATTTTTAAATTTTAGATTTTAAATTTAAAAATGTCAGAAATATCTACAGATTCTGAGTTTGAATTATTGGTAACAAAAATTAATTTTAATATTCTTGTATTATTCCACCCATTTTATTTTTTTCTCTTTATTTTCTCCAGAAAAGCACATCTGAATAAAAGTAGCATATTGTTAAAGATTATGGCAATAAGTATCAGTTGGAATTCCCTATGAAATTTAATTCCCGATTTCGTGAAATCGCGCTATCCCGCTTAAAAACGCCGGTAATTCCTGATTTTTGTGATTTTTGCAGAAAGAAAGAAAGAAAGAAAGAAGAAGAAAAATAAAGTGTGGGGAATAACACAAGATTAATTTTGTTAAATTATTTTAGCAAATTTTAACTAATCTTGATGTTCAACCAAAACTTGACAATCTTTCAATTGAATGTAATGAGAAAGAAAAAAATGCTAAACTTCAAGAGAAAAATAAATTACTTGAGAGACAAATGGATGAGGTAAAAATCCTCTCTTTTTATCATAAAAATATCGTTAACTCCTTTTGGTAATAGTTCACTTCACCCCCCCCCTCCTTTTTTTATCAAAATCCATTGGTTCTGGCTGAACTTTGTATGACCTCTCCGTATATTTGGGGAGAAAGTGGAAAAGTGCCAGCCATGCAATGTTCAAAATTACCAAAATATTTTATATATTTTTTAAAATTTAAATTAAAGATGCGTGTTTCTTATGAAAAAAAGATTGGAGAATTAACAAATAAATTGGAACAATTAACTAAAAATTGCAAACGAGCGGTTAGAATTTGTTTAATTTAAATTTTATATATTCAAATATTTAAAGTGTTTTGTGAATATTAAAAATAAATGGGTTGAGGCTAATGATGAATCTTGTTGTGTTAATAAATGTTTGGATGGAGTGGACACAAAAAATACAAAATGTATTAAAGGGAATGGATTTGTAAAATTAATTGGTGATGAGATAATTAAATATATTAATTGTGAGGGGAAAGGTGAATTAATTTTAGATATTTTTTGTTGATTTTTAAACAAAGTTCTGTTGCAATTTTGCAACAGATACAATTTTTAGGGATAAAAAGTTGAAGGAATAAACCCCCAAAATTGCGAAAACTCTGATTTTTTGGACTTGGATCCGGCTGGGTTTCAGGGCTAACCAATGAAAGCCCTGATTTTTTTTCAAATGTCAGTGTATCAGAAAGGAAATCCGAAAAACCGTGTCAGGATAAATCTTTAATATAGTTCAAGGAGAAAAATATTCATTTTTATTAGGTTATAGTCAATTTGGTGCTTTGTCGGGAATGCACTGAGTTTTGCCCCACACCCCCCCCCCTTTACCCCCAAAAAACTGCAAACTTTTCAAATCTATTTGCTTCACAAATTTCAATATTTTTAGGTTTTAATAAAAGCATTGATGTTCGTGTTTTAAATTATTTTAAAAAACCAAAAGAAGAATGTCTTAATTATTCCTTATTTTATTATGAAATCAAAGTCAAAATAGAAGGAGAGAAAAATGGTTATAACAACTGGATAAATATTTGTCTTAAAAATAGAAATGTAGATTCGGTTAGATTGCATGTAGAGGACGGAACAATTCAAAACGATAAACCGAACGGAAAAGATGAATTATTTAAAGTTGATGATTTTTCTTGGAATGATGGAGATATTTTTGGTTGCGGATTAGTTTATCCGCCAACTACAAAGTCTGAAAAGTTCCCTTATATTTTCTATACCCAAAATGGGAAAGAAATTGGTTAGTTATTTTGTATTATTGGATTTGGAGGAATATAGAGAGTTTTGGTAGAAAAGTTGTATTGTAACAAAAAAAAGATTAAAAATATATATTGTCCTCCTTATCACCCAATATCCACAACTCCACCTTAATCCATGCACTTCACTTTCAGCGTTTATTTTGGGGCTCCAAACCCTTAACTTTGTATGGCTCCACCTCTAACACTGTTAAATCCGAGAGTTGCAAATTTTCTAGCTGAGCTTTCTCCTATTATCACCGCATGCGAAAATTTTTTGAATTTTGGAAAAAACTAACCGGAAAATTTTCAAAAATTCTCGGAAATTGGGAATTTTTCTAAAATTTCTCAAATCGGTTTTCCGATAGATCTCTGTGTTAGAAAAATAACATACAAGAAAATATTTACTCTTAATTTTTAAGGTAAAGCAATATTATTGAAGGAAAATTTTGACTATTATTTGCCGATTGTTTGGTTAAGATGTTGCTCTGCCGAAGCAAATTTTGGAAATAATTTGGAACTTAAGCCTTTTTGTTATGACATTACAAAACATTTTGTGATCAAAGAATTTTATGAAGATTCTGATCTTGATTGATTTGAAAAATAAATATTTTAAGGAAGATATAACGACAAGAATTTTCGATGTTTTACGTTTAATCGTTTCATGACAAGGAAATAATTTTTTAAAATAAATTTGTTGTTTTTGATTTCGGAATAAATTGGTAAATAAATTGGAATAAATTGGATAAATCATTACGTGTGCGAACAAAAGATGACTCGGCCAACAACCATTTACATATAATATTTTTGGCATTTAAAATCCTTAAATTTTCATATTGAGTTTCATATAGTCTTAGATTTTGACAAGTTTTAAACTGTAGAAATTTTTGAATTGAATTTGCTGCAATAAAATTTCAATGGTGTGGGGGTAGCCATTTACAAATTTAGTAAAGTTGAGGAAACCATTTTTAACTTTGAGGAAGGAATAAGGATGTATAGTAAACTTTAATTTTATCAAAAATATTAATTCAATTTAATTTGCAAATTTAATTCAACAGTTATTAACAAATCAAAAATGTACATTTAATTTAAAAGTATAAAAATGGCTACATGTTTTAATTGATAAAAAGTAAATCAAAACGTGTAAAAACTTTTAATAAAAATCTTTATTAATGAAATGATTTGAAATATCATATTTAAATGGTTTTGACGTCAAATTGTTTCCAAAGTTTGCTTCAACAGAACAACAGCTCGAAGCAACATATGGTTTATATAATTCAAAATTATTGTTTAATAATACACCTTTTCCTTAAAAAAAGTTTTTTTTTCTAGGAAATTAAAAAAAAAAATTCTAAAAAAATTTTCTTAAATTAAATATTTATTACCAATTTGTTTTCCATTTTGTGTAAAGAAAACATAGGGAAATTCTTCATTTAATTTATCAGCTGGAGGATAAACTAATCCACACCCAAAAATATCTTTATTTTTAAAGCACAGCTTCGAAAGTTTAAATCCTTCAAACTTCTCGTTATATATTGTAGAATTGTTTGCAAAATATATAATTACTTTATTTGTACTTAAAGTCTTAAGACCTATAACCATATATTTTCCATAATTATTTAACTTTCCTTCAAATTTACATTTAATTTCAAAATAATATAAAGAATAGTTTAAACAATTTTGTGGTTTTTTGAATGAATTTTCTGTGTAAACAACAACTCTCTTATCACAACCTTAAAATATTTTTAAAAATTATAAGTAAAAAAATGTTACACCCCAACTTACCACAAGCGCAACGTACCGCAGAGCTTTAACTTAATTCAAAAATGCATAATCCGGGACGCCCTGGTATGGTCAGATGCATCTCGACGAGCTGAATCAAACCATGCCAAGGCGTCCCAAATTCGATTATTTTGAATAAAGTTATAGCTCAGCGGTACATTAGCCCAAAAATATTTTGGTACTTGTGAATTATTTCATACCAGTTCTTGCGGACATATTTTCACTCTAGTGACATTGCAAAATTTTTTTTTCATTTTTTTTGAATAATTCAAAAATACATACATATTTATGCGGATTCAATAAAAATTTTTTGAATCGGCCCATATTTAATCCATATTTTGGATTTTAGAAATCCCATCCCTAGAGATAACTCACAAGTACCAAAATTTACATATAATATACCACTTTTCCCCACTAAATATTTAATATTTTCGTCATTAATTAAATTTACACATCCATTTCCTTTAATACAATTACCAACAGGGTTGTTTGTATTTATACAATTATTTTCACAACATTTCCATCTACAACTAAATTCACTCCATTTATTTTTAATATGAATAAAATTCTTTAAAATAAATATTTAATGCCTTTAAATTAAAATTACAGCCTAACTAACCACATATTTACAACACATATTGTTCAAACTAATTAATTGCGTAATATTTCCTTCGATTAATTTTTGAAATTTTTGCTTTATTTCCTCAATTTTATTTTCATTGTGGGAATTTATCTTTAGAATTTATGTACAAAATTATGTATAGAATTATTGGCCGTATCTGAAATTAATGCCGCCTTCCCATTTTTTTCTTATTCCTGAAAATGGTTAATTTTCTTATAATTTTCCCTCTTTTTATGATTGTTGACTCGAGGCTATAGACGCGAAAGGATTATTTTTCTTTAACTTTGAGAGCATTTACTTTTTTTCCGTATTTTGACTGACCGATGTGTGAGCGTTTTCTGTCTGTCCGAGTTCGTCCGTGTTTTGTCAGTCTGTGACCGTCCGTGTTTTGTCAGTCTGTGACCTTGTCTGTCCGAGTTCGTCCGTGTCTTGTCTGACGATCTCAGACAGACAAGACACGGACGGACTCGGACAGACAGAAAACGCTCACACATCGGTCAGTCAAAATACGGGCAGAAAAAAGTAAATGCTCTCAAAATCCTTTCGCGTCTATAGCCTCGAGTCAACAATCAAAAAAAGAGGGAAAATTATAAGAAAATTAACCATTTTCAGGAATAAGAAAAAAATGGGAAGGCGGCATTAATTTCAGATACGGCCGAATTATTTAAAAAAAATTTATAAATTATAAATAAATATACGAAGCGATCTACACCAGTAAATGAACCTATTTCTTTTACCGATTTTTAGATTGAAATTCCGACTTACCCCCCCCCCCAACCCCTGTGGTAGCTAAAAACAATTATTCCAACAAAGATTAAGTCCCTTGTAATTTTGTTCAGAAGTATTTTCAGAAGCATCAGACTTACTCGACAAGCTCTATCGAATGAGAATTTTGTTTTTGTTTAACACATTTTACAACATTTTTAATTAAGGCCCCATAACAGAAAAGTACCAACGGTTTTTTGGATAAGTTAGGTAGATTGTAATTATTAATTTTTGTTGGAAAAATATTTTTGAGCGCCTAGACGGGCAATAACTACACTACTTAAAACCCCATTAAAATCCACAAAAAATTTCAATAGAAGCAAAAATTGAATAAATATTTTTATTTACCTTTCTAATTTCTTCTTCCAAAAATTTAATTTTTTCATCTTTTTGATCATTTTCAGCTTTTAATTGCTTATTATTTTCATTAATTAATTTTTGAAAATTTTGTTTAATTTCTTCAATTTCATTTTTATGATCAAAATTTATTTTTTTAATTTTCTAAAATTATTAAAAAAATATTTAAGTAGAATAAATCCAAACTTTATCCATTTCCTTCAATTCATTTTCAAGAAAAATATTTTTCTTTTCTAAATTAGAAGTCTTTTCCTTCTCTTTATTAAATTTTATTTGAAGTTTTTTAAAATCATTTTTCTCTTTTCCAAGCAAAATCCAATCAGATTCTTCAGCCATATTTATTGCAAATTTCTGTTCAAAGTTGACATAAAATATCAAAAAATTTTTATCCTATTTATGACATGTTATTCGCAGCGTATAATTTTTCCGCTGGCGTGTCATATCCGTGGCATATCTGCGAGACAATAGATGTCATATGCGATATATGATATCCTAAACATGATAACAACTTGAACAGCCACAAAAGGCATGTCATAGATATGGCATTTCATATCTGAAACTTGATATAATTTGAATAGGTCCCGGAGTGAGCGCGCCTCTATAAATATAGGTAGTAATAAATTCAAATTTTTTCTAAACAATTGAATAATTCTTTGAGAAATTAAATAAAAATGCATTTTCTTTTATTTCTTATTTTGCCGCATTACATTTAGGCTTGACATACTTTTTTCAAATATTTTAAGGAGAATAAAAAAATGTCTGGGTCGTGTCCACTCCAGAGTATCGACATCCAAAGTATCGCCACGGGCCAGGTCATAAGAGCTACTTGTTAAAATTGTATTATAAGAACTTGGAATTTAACCAGGTCATTTAAACCTTAACCAGAAGTCAAATGAAAATGGTTAATTTAATTTAAATCAAAATGATCAGATTAAAATTAAATTTGAAAAATCTCGGTAATTGTATGGATAAAATTAAACAATAATCGAATAAATTTTCAATAAGATTCTTTAAGAATTAAATGATTCGAAACGTCGTATTTGAAAGGTTTTGATTCCAAATTATTTCCAAAATTAGCTTCAATTGAACAACATTGCAGCCAAACACATGGGGATTCATAACTGTCCTTTACTAATGTAGCCTTACCTTTAAAAAACAATTTTTAAATATTTTTTTAAAATTAAATATATTTACCAATTTGTTTTCCATTTTGTGTAAAGAACACATAAGGAGATTCTTCAGTTAATTTATTAGTTGGAGGATAAACTAATCCACAACCAAAAATATCATTGTTATTCCAAGAAGGTGTTGGTTGGTGAATTTTTTCATTTTTCATGTTATAGTAAATTGAGAATTGCTTCGCAGAATAATAAATATGATTTCTTGTGCTCAAATTTTTAAGTCCAACACTCAAATATTTTTCACCTTTATTCAACTCTCTTTCAAATTTGCATTTAATTTCAAAATAATATAAAGAATAGTTTAAAGAATTTTGGGGGTTTTTGAATGAATTTTCAGCATAAATAAGAACCCATTTATCACAAACTAAAAATATTTATAGTAAAGAACTTAAAATACAATAGTTTACCTCCTTTCCCCTCCAAACAATTAATATATTTAATATTTTCACCATCAATTATATTTCCATATCCATATCCTTTAACACACTTACCACTAGGTTTATTTGTATTTATACAATTATAGGTACAACACATACTGTATCCACCATCAATTTCTTTCCATTTATTTTTAATTTTAACAAAATTCTTTAAAAATTATTTATTTTTTTCTTAACTATAAACTCACCACAGAATTGAAAACCGAATCATCTACTTTAATTATTAAATCACCAATCTTTTTGTTAAATAAATCATTTGCCTTTTAATATAAATTATAATAATTTAAAACATGCTTTAAATGCCAATAATTTTTTTTATTTTTCTGTTCTCCTTTTCCTATTAAATTCTCAGATGGGCATTTTAACTCTATATCGATAGATATCAAGCTTTCAGTGTCAGTCTATGGTCCGGTGTAGTTTATTCCAGGGATTTGTCGGGTTGCCCGAAACTCGTATAGTAAATTAAAATTGACATTTCCAACCTTTACAAAATAATGACTGGAAGTAAGATCATGTGCTGTGGGCATATAAAGTATAAATTCCATAAAAAATGTTTTTATGGTAAAATTGTGCTTGAGGTTTTAAGGGCGTGTTTCTTGTCGATAGTTGAGACTACGGGATTGATTTAACTGTTATTCGACTAGCTCACCGAGCTCTTTCGAATGGCTTAAGTATGTAGGCAGTATCGGATTGGCCCTCTATTACACTTTTTTTTTAAATAAAATCTCTTTACATATGCAAAATGTAAACCTTAAAAATATTTTAAAAATACTAGTGTTTTTATTTAAGTTCCAGTATATTTAATTTTTAATGAAAAATTCTAATTAATTACGTTTTTAATTTGTCCTTCTAAAGAATTAATTTTTTTATCTTTTTGTTCACTTCCAGATTTTAATTGTTGAATATTTTCTTTTAAAATTTTAATTTCATTTTCATGGTCAGAATTTATTCTCACAATTTTATTTTCATTGTCAGAATTTGTTTTTTCAATTTTCTAAAATTATTTTCAATTAATTTTTAATTAAAACCCAAAAAAATAATTTAAATATTTCCAAAAAATATTTGGTAATCAACACCTTTAGTGCAGAAAAAATTGGCTTGCATTTTATTTTCATTGTCAGATTTGATAGAAAATGCATAACTTTTAGATAAGACTGTCAAAATTTTAGATTATTTTTAGGTAAACGTGGAGCAGCTAAATCCGAGTCCGCAGGGTTAGAAATATCGGGTGGTAAAGGTTAAAGGAGAATTACGAGAAATTTAGTGAATTAACAGTGATGTGGCAGGATTGTGTGGATTAAAGGGGTGCTAATGGGTGATTGACTGTATTTAATTTAAAATTCCAAACTTTTTTAGTTTCATTCAATTCATTTTTTAAAGAATTATTTTTCTTTTCTAAATTAGCACAGTAGTATATACCGGAGTTTTAAAACATTTTTTGACAAAAATATTTTAAAACTCCAGTATAAAGAAATATCTTAATTGAGAATAGATTAAGAACATTTCGATCCAACTAATTTAAAATAAAAACAAATTCAACAAACCTAAACCTATAGGGCAATAGCAAAATAAAATTTTTTATGAGAATAGGTTAAGAACATTTCGATCCAAAGTCTGTTAATAACTAGTTTAAAGACAAAATTTAATGCTTAAATCTGACATTTAAGTAAATATGGTTTCTTAGTAATTCGAAAAGAAATATCTATTAGTACTCATTATTTGCCATTATATTTTTAAGATTATTTTATCTCCTAAAGCTTGAATAATGTAAAGTTAAAAGTTAAAATCTAAAATATCTAAAAGAAAAATTTTTATAAAGGAAAAAATAAAAATTAGTAACGAGACTAGAAAAATAAAAAAATGAGAAGGGAAGCACTTTTAAAAAGTATGTCAACAAAAATTATTTTTTCGCAACACTTAGAAATTGACAAAAACTAAAAAATCCTTGCAGCTAATAAAATAACACCAAAAATCATTTTACTTAAGAAAAAGGAATTAAATAAATATATTAAGTCTGACTAGAAATTTCGCAAAAAAAGGAGTAAAATTTTTTTAAAAAATCTTAATGTATTTTAAATTAAATGGGAAAAGCTTAATTAAAGTAGAGAGTAGAAAAAATAAAAGTTTTAAAGGAAAATTACTATGTACTATAAAATTTGAGAAAAAATGTTTATAAAAACCAAAATTACTTAAGTAATATAATTTAAAAAAATTGTAAAAGCTAATATTAAAATTAAAAGCTAAAAAAGTCTAAAGTAAATCTTACTATATATAAAATAATTTAGTAATTGCAAAATTGATTTAATTATTGTATAAAAATGTACAAGAAAGGATATATAAATAAAAATTCAAGTGCTCTTGAAATATATTTGAATTCTCCATTAAAGTATTTTCTCTGCTTCAGTTTTGAGCTGAAGCATTTTATGTGCTTTAGATTAAAGTTGTAGCATTTTATTTGTTTCAATTTTTATTTAAGTATTTTCTGGCTTCAGTTTTGAGCTGAAGCATTCTATGTGCTTCAATTTTAAGTATTTTCTGTGCTTCAGTTTTGAGCTGAAGCATTTTATTTGTTTCAATTTTAAGTATTTTCTGGCTTCAGTTTTGAGCTTAAGCATTCTATGTGATTTAATTTTAAGTATTTTCTGTGCTTCAGTTTTGAGCTGAAGCATTTTATGTGATTAAATTTTAAGTATTTTCTGTGCTTCAGTTTTGAGCTGAAGCATTTTATTTGTTTCAATTTTAAGTATTTTCTGGCTTCAGTTTTGAGCTTAAGCATTCTATGTGATTTAATTTTAAGTATTTTCTGTGCTTCAGTTTTGAGCTGAAGCATTTTATGTGATTAAATTTTAAGTATTTTCTGTGCTTCAGTTTTGAGCTGAAGCATTTTATTTGTTTCAATTTTAAGTATTTTCTGGCTTCAGTTTTGAGCTTAAGCATTCTATGTGCTTCAATTTTAGTATTTTCTATGCTTCAGTTTTGAGCTGAAGCATTTTATGTGCTTCAATTTTAAATTGCTTAAATATTGCGAATCCATCGATTTTCAATTAAAGCTTTTTTTCAGTCACTGCTCTATTTCAACAAATTGTTCTTTAAAAAAACATTCAAGAATGGGAAACAAAACCAAGACATTAAGAAAAATCTTCGGAAAGAAGTATAAAAAATTAAAAATTCCTTTAAACACTGATTTATAGGAGGCGTATTAGTTTGTTAAAACGAAAAGAAATCAACACTCGAAGACTGATCGGATATTATTTCGGAGGATCCAGACTGCTCGAAATTGTAAAAGGCCAATACATGTATTGTGAATTGTGTGAAAAAACTATTAAAAAAAGATATCTTAAACATTCTTATAAGCACTTGAAAGAAGCCCTTTGGCGCTGTGCTTATTGTCGAACGGTTTATTGTTTAAAAAATATAATTTTTCCCATATAATATTTAAATAGTTACCGTATTTATTCTAATATTAGCCTCAGACACATATTTTTAAAAGTGTCTTCTCGGATGGGCTTCTATAAAAGGATGGGCTTATATTTTTCATTGGGTCTCCTCGGATGGGCTTATGCTAGAAGTGGGCTGCTAATAGAGGAGGGCTTATATTAGAATAAATACGGTAATTTAAAAAAAGGGTTCAAACAAAAGAACGGAGATTGTGAAGCATTGTAGTGAAATGCATGGCTCAAAGAAGCCACCGCTCGACGACCGTTTTCGATTATGGGACAAAATTAAAGTATTATTATAATCGTTTACTTTTGTGGAAGTTCAAAGTAGTGTTCAGCAAATGGATTTTTTTCAATACCAATACCAGTACTACCGAAAAGTACTGGTATTGAATGAGTACCGAAAATTCCCAAATCTTATCAGTACCGTACCAATACCAGTAGTACCGAAAAGTACCGAGTCGGTACTATCGGTAATACGGCGGTAGTACCGAACTGTGCCGAACACTAGTTCAAAGCCTAAATTATCTAAAAATTAAAATTTAAGCATAACCTGCAGATGTGTTACCCATATAATTTTATTGATTTACCAAAAGAGTATGAACCTAAACCTGAAGTAAATAATATTAATATTCTAATATTAATAATAATTATTATGAAGCATGTACTAGATATACAGAGAGAATATTTCATATATGCGCAGCAATATAAAACTGACAAGGCCAACAAAAAATGGGAAAAGCAAGAAAAAAAACGAGTACACTGGGCTCGCTGTATGTCAAATCTTGAAGAGGAATAGAAATATAATGACTGAAAATATCTTTCTAAAAACAGTCACATCTTTAGCATAAATTTATTACAAATACCCACAGTTTGCAGAGAGCTGCCTAGGCTATACCTTATTTTAAAAATATTCATTCACTCTATGTTAAAAACATTTTATTAAAAACATGTAACAATTTTTTAAATAAAATATTCACATGCAATTGGCCAAAAGGTTTAAATCATGTATTATTTTAGTCAAAAATTAGGAAGATAAATTTGTGCAGAAAGGCAGAGAATAAATCTAACAATCATGAAGCTGCAAACTAAAAACAATAAAATGCCAATAAATCTAAAAACTTTAAAATGCCAATAAGTCTAAACATCATGTAAGGCCAACAAAACTAAAAATATAAAAAATGACAATAAGTCTAAAAATCATGTAATGCCACAAAACTAAAATTATATAAAATGGCAATAATGCTAAAAATACATAACTAAATGAAGTATGCTTTCAAAGTGCATTTATATACAGTCTGGCTTCAATTAAAAATAGTAAAAATATATAAAAAGCTAGAAAAATATTATAAAGTAATTACATTCTAATCTGTTAATGAGAAAAAACCTGATTTTAAAAACGTCAAAATACACATGTTAAAAGTAATTAACTTTCCATTCTTTCAAAATCAACAAAAAATACTAAAAATTAACTTAACTATTTTTTAATCAGGTGTAAATTTTTAAGTGAAGACAATTGATCAAACACCACTATTACTAATTGACAAAAAAATTTCAAAAAAAGTAAAATAAAACTTCTAAAACATCGAATATCAACTTTTTTGGTAGACTAATTATCATTTTAAATAGAACCTGTTTTCAATTTCAAAGCATATAAAAG